CAACCAGCTCGATTTACCGTTAGACCATAAAAGCCATCGGCCGCGTTTCAAAACGACGAACTTCGATTATGATCGTTCTCGCGAGCACGAACGTTCGCTGCATAATGCGCCTCGCGAATTGTGCAATTGCGTTAAACCGTCGTACCGAGTATCGGCATTCTCGTTAAGTATCGATTCCTCCTCGATCGTGCACGTTAATAATAATGGACTTGTAATGGCGTATAAGGTAGGAGCTATTTCGGCGAATGTTGTAAACGAACCAATCATCATCGATATATCGAACGATCGTTTCCTTTTTCTTTTTCTTTTCTTTCTTCTTCCTATGGTTTTTTTTTTTTTACATATTTCCTTTTTATAATGTCATTCCTGAGCATTTGTTTTCTTTCCCTTCTTCAATATAACGTGTATATATATATATATATATATATATATCATTCAATTCGATTCTTTTTTCGTCGACGACATTTCCGACAAGAAGGAAGATAAGATCAAGATAAGAGGAAAGTACATTTATCTCTCTTTTAAAAAGTGTCTCAACAAACGACAAAAGCTACATATGTGTGTATGAGTATGTATGCTCGATGTGTTGTCCAATACAACAAAAAGTGTAATTCTGAAATAGCGCGAGTAAATGGAAAATGATGGTAGAGAGTATAAGTGTGTAAGCTACCTGTGCCTTGTAACAAACTATATATGTATATGTGTATATATATATATGTATATACAGGAAAAAAAGGGGAGTAATAAAAAAACAACTTGTATGTGTTAGCATATAAAAAAAAAAAATATATATATATATATATATCTATACATACATATACATAACTCTTACGGTAATCTAATCGAAATAATCGTTGCCGTCTCTTCTGAAACAAAACAAAAATGAAAAAAGAAAAAGGGAACCCCTCTCAGAATTTCATTCAGCGTACTTGTGTGCGAAGAAAGTGCGAGAGCGAGAGTGAAAGAAAAAAAGCGAACGAAAGAGCGCCAAAAAGTTAGAGAAAAAAAACGAAAAGTTGCAATTTGGAAAAGGAAAAAAAAAATATGATGGTAAACATTAACAAAGAAAAAGAAGAAAAAAAAAAGAGAAGAAATATGTTGTTGAATAAAATAGCAATAATCGAATCTCAGACTGAATTATAATTGAATATTATACCGCAATCTTTGTTGTCGCGGAAGCGACGCGTGAGCGTGTTAATTATTATAAATACTGTTACAGTGTCTTGCTACATTTGGGGAGATTGAAATAAAATCTCGATGCTCGAAAAGAGAAAGGATTTCATTTTGGTACACCAGTGCTTTCGAATATTTCAAACTTATTTTATAGCACATCCGCTTTTTTATTCTTTTTTTTTTCATTTTTCTTGTTTTTAATCGAAATATAATTATTAAATAAAATCCATACAATACGTAAGTATAAATGTAAGTATGTAAATACGGCTCACAGATGTACTCCTGTTGCATGGACGATGTTTGTACATGTTAAAGCTTTGCTGCATTAATTTGTAATAAAATAATTTGTTATTTCTTACGTACGCGAAGAAGGAAAACGCAAAGTTGTTTCCAAAAGAGTTTCTTAACTTTAGAAAATATTGAAGAAAAGTAGTAGGAAAGTTTTCGATAAAACTAGGAAAGATATTTTTAATAATAACGGAATAACAAATGGGTTGCACTTTTGCACGTGAAAACAATCGGTCATCAGCGAAGGCAAATCAACTTCTCGTGTTTCGGCGCACCGTCAAATTTCCAGGTATTGCGAAAAGAAACAACCAACGAATCAACAGCAGCACCCTTTTTCTTACTTTTAAACCTGAATTTATCGTTCGGGAGCCTTTCCTTCTCTTCTTCCTTCCTTCCTTTCTTCCTTTCTTCCTTCCTTCCTTCCTTCCTTCCTTCCTTCCTTCCTTCCTTCCTTCTGCAGCATCGGACACACAAAAGAAACAGAATAGAGGATGGAGATGAAAAGGGGAGAAACGGAGAATGAGAGAAGGAGAGAAAAATAGTGACCAATCGGAAAAAGGATACTTCTTTTTGATTTAAGGCTTTTCCCTCCTATTTTCCCTTTCCTCTTTGATTCTCCCATTTTTTCTCTCTCGGCACTCTGAACATAACTATTTTTCGTTGTATACAGTTCTAAACGATACACAAACATAAATTCTTTACGCTCAGTTGCTCGAGTCATATGACTCGGCCATCGGGCCTCTGGAATGCCCGAGCGGCCGGCCCCGTTATCAGCATGAGTAGACTAAACATCCTCCTGGTGCTCGAGTACGATGGAAGGGCAAGGGAAGGTGCTATCCATCGCTGCCTTCGCGTCAGCGACGATCATTCTCTGTCGGGCTTCTTAATTGTAAAGACGTAAATAAATCGGAAGTATTTTAATCAACGCTTCTAGTTCGATTATTTACTTGCCTATCCGAACCAAACAAATCCGTTATCGTTATTTTCTCGCGTATTCGTAATTCTCTATTTCGGACGCTTGTAACATAACTCTCGCGTTCAAATCGAAATTTGGAATGAGTTACATATTTCTCTGGGAAACAAGATGACGTAAAAGATAAAAAAAGAGAATCGGAGCTGCAAAGAAAAGATAAATAGATTTTTAGTCAATTATTTCTAACATATTATACGACGAATTTCTATGTAAGATTTATTAAGGTCAATTGAAATTGCATGTCAACAAAACCAACCAACCAACCGATCGACCATTCTTGCGGCGAGATATTGAAGGATTTTGAATATACGAGAACATTTTATAAAATTTCTTGTATACATTTCGAACCGGATATTTTTCAATTAAATCCCATGTAAATAAAACGTAAAACGTATTTTTATGTTACTTTCCAAAAAAGAAAATCAGAGAAGAAAAAGAAATGCAAAGGTAAAGGTAAAATACTTTTTTTCTTGATTTTTAATATACTTATCGAAGATTTAAATGAAAGTAAGATAAGAAGGATAAAGAGATTATGTGCGTCGAAAGTTTGAGAAAGTCTTCATCGATACTTATTTAATCCTCTTATGACTTATTGATTTTAGCATTATTCTCTTCTTGAACGAATATGCTTACTTTAATCGTTGCAAGGCTAATCGTGTTAATCGGTACATGCGCGTTCTCAAACGACCTTCGCGATATTTCCTAATAAAAACGCGAATGGACAAACACACACAAATATAGAATATATAATGATAATATAATAATGACGTGGACCTCTCCCCATTCTTACTTACTTTCACTTATTTATATCTAAAATAAGCTACGCCGTTTTGGAGAGGTACAAGGAACACATGAATCTTTTTGGCCTCCGGTATCACTGGAGGTGGGGCTGAAAATCGGAAAAGATGGGACTCTTTTCGAAAGTGACAGTCTTTTATCGCCGGCATGTAAAAGGAAAGAAAATAATATAAAAGGACAGAAAATCAGATATAAGGCTTGTCGCTTACAAAGGAAAGAAAATTAAAAAAATATGTGTAACATTATAAGACAAAACACTACACTACAAAAGTCTACGTTAAATCAACGTCAATATACCGTTAAAACTAACTTCGGCCATTTATAATCATTTTACGGATACTCGGAAAATTTATGGTCGGTCGGTTTCTTAAAAATATACTGCATAGGCCGTACACGTAGAAACGTTATCGCAATATTAAAGATACTCTTCTCGGACGTTAGACTCATGTCCAGACTGTATCTGAATTTAAGATGTAATTAAATTTCACGAGGAAGCTTACAACTAAATTTACAATGAAACTTTACAGCGCCTCTACTTATTTCTTTTTTTCTTTCTTTTTTTTTTTTTTTTTTTTTTTTTTTTTTTTTTTCTTCAACACGTGCAATAATTAATGGACAATCTTTTTGATTCTATCGATTGATTGTATCTTCTTTCATAACGATTCACACTATACTTTTCCTGTTGTACAATTTGCTTGATCTAAAGAAAAACTTGTAAATATAATCTACTATTTAACGAGTTTAATTATTACATATAACATGTGAAATTTGTAGAGAACATTATCGCTTAAAATTATGCCTAAAACTTATAATTAATTTTTAAAAAACATTTGCACCAAACAAACGACCTTCCGAGGAAATTAATTCTAGCAAGGAACAGTCCCATAATCGTGATATATCGCTTCATTAGTAGTGTATAATAAGTTAGATATCCACTGACAAGAACGACTATATACTACTCTATCCACCAGTGTATTCTCCTATTCTTTATTTTAGACATAAACACGAGGAGAAAATACTTTTCGTTTATGACCAAAGCAAGTTGAGCTCGTTAAAGAAAATCGAATCGTAGTTTTCCAATAGCTAACTTTTATTGGTCCTATTCGGTCAATCTTTCTTTCAGACTCTTTCTCATTTTCTAATCATTCGTAACAATCTAACAAGCATTTACAAAGTTCGATTTTCAACACGATTGTCATTTTCAAATTTTTATTCAGCTTCAAATAAAATAAACATTATTGCTATAGAATTTTTAATTCTCTATAACCGAAATGTTGTTCATAATTATAAAAGAATTTATACAACTTGGAATCAACTTGCAAATACAAATTTAAAAAATATCAAATGGAAAGCTGCTTAGTACTTACAATAAAAACAAATTAAAACTAAAGAGTGTCAGTGTCAATTACCAATGACTGACTGATGCACAAACTAAATGGAAACTTGTTAAATTAAAAAACAGAAAAACAGAAAAAATTTGTGATATATTGCTATATGATTTTAAGTTGATCCTAACTAACAATAAAGCTTATAAAAGCACCTATAAAATATTGTCAGTTTTGTAATAAGACAAAATATACATGGACAAAAATTATTTTGTCTTATACTCACTTTTATCTTTAAAACGTAGTCTCAAAACTTTTCAAGTCACTCTAGATATTTTTTTAATAGACATTATCAATTTGAATATTTTAATTCGATCAATCGAATCTATCGAATTCCCACTAACAAATAAGATTCGAGTATTATCGAGTATTATCGAGTATTATCGAGTATTCTCGAGTATTCTCGAGTATCGCGTGTATGTTTCGAGCCAAGTGTCAAACAGACAAAAAAGAATGGACTTCGAAAGTCCGGATGTTGAAAAAGAATTTCCAGGACTTTACGCATCGGAATCAGCCAAGAAGAGTAACGAGAGTGATTGTAAGTAACAATAATAATGACATTAATAATGTAACACTAGTAGTACGAAGATTGCGAAGAGGTTATGTACATGTCATTTGATTCAATTAACGATTGCAAATAATCATTTTATATAACATTCTACGTCTCATTCTATCAAAATGTATTTCTTATTCAAAATCTATATTAATATCTTATTATAGATATAATTTACTTACTTAATTTACTTTTCGATTTTAGTCAGCGACGAAGGTGGTCACGAGAAACATTCAAAAAAGGAACTTCTCGGTGGTAAACGAAAAGAAAAGAAAGATCGTAAAGATAGGGGATATGCCACTTTAGAAGGTGAAAGTTCACCAGACGAGGATCAAGAAACAAAGTATATATAATTTAATCATTGTTATTAATTATTTCTTGTCTATTATTAGTAAATATAATATGCTTGCTTTTTACTTTAATATACTTGCGCGTTATGTATATTCATTTACTATTATTGTCATGTTTATAATAATATTTTAACAATCATTTCAACAATTATTGGAACCTAGCATTAGTTTATATTATATCTTTCTTCTTCTTCTTCTTCTTCTTCTTCTTCTTCTTCTTCTGATATACTTCTTTACTTTATTTATTATTTACTATTTTTCATTTTCTACATACAAGGATAAAATGTAATTTCATATATAATGAAATTCTGCTTTTACGATGCTATATTTCATTTGTAGGAGCCCATCAAAATCAAAGAAAACCAAAGCTTTTAAATTTCCTTCAAAAAAGGAAAAACGGGAAAAATCTCGAGAAAAAGAAACTAAGGAAAAGGATGTCGAAAAAGATAAAGATAAGAAAAAGAAAGATAAAGATGATAAAGACGCAGAGAAGGATAAACGTAAGGACAAAGAAAAAGATAAATCTAAGCAAAAATTAAAAGATAGAAAGAAGGGAAAACATGGTGAAGAAGGTTTAGATATTGGTGGTAAAGTATATCTTCTTAATTATTTTTTGTTATCCTTGTTTAAAATATAATTATTAAAATAGTAATAAGAGTATATAATTCATCTGTTTTAGAGGAGCAACCAATATTTGGAATCTGTTTAAGTCTTGCGGTTGAAAGAAGTCGATGTCATGATGGTGTTGAATTACCCTTAGTTGTACGCGATTGTATTGACTATGTAGAAGAACATGGCATGAATATAGAATGCCTGTATAAAATCCCTGGGGTTAAATCTAAAATACAAAATTTAAAAAAACTTTATAATCAACGAGAGATTGTAAATATAGCAGAATTTGAACCCACGGTAGCTACAAGCTTATTAATACTTTTTCTTAGGTTTGTATTGAAACATTTTATTTTACACATTGCTTCAAGTTTCAATATTCCAAAATTCACATAATGGCGATACAGAGAATTGCCAGAACCTGTTTTAGAGAATAGTGAAATGATATCAAGATTTGAACAAGCTGCATCAACGAAAGAAATTGCTCAACGGGAATCACAATTATTTCAATTAACGCAACAATTGCCAAAATGCAATAGAACTCTCCTCGCATGGATCACTCTACATTTAGATCATGTTGCAGCACGTGTATGTTATTTATATAACTATTGAAAATCATTATGTTAATATATAATAGATCTGATATAAATATAAAATAATTGTAAAATGACTAAAATTCATTCTGTTTTAGGAAAAAACTACTAAAATGAATGCCCAAACAATATCGATGACATTAAGTCCAGTTTTACAAATGAGTCATAGATTATTATCCGCCTTACTTTTTCATTGTAAAGCGCTCTTCCCTGATGTACAATTGAAAAAGTACATTCCACCACTTGCATCTGGTAGTACAAATTTACCAGAAACTGTAGAAAGTATAGCGGCTGAATTAATCAAACAGGAATCATTATTATCACAAATTCATATGCAAATGAATGCAGGCTTCGTTACTAAATCAAAAGAAGAAGAATTATGGGAAGTTCAGCGTATGATAACACAATTAAAGGTAAGCTTTCCTAATTAATAAGTTGTTTATTAAATGGAATTGCAATAAAAAAGAATTTAATTTTTTCTTATTATCAAATATATCGTTAGAGAAAGTACAAAACAGTTCAGAAACTTGAAGGCACTGCACAAAAAAGTTTAGACGAAGAAGTGAAGTCTAGCGATGAGAATCCCTTAGATCCAAATTCACAAAAAGCAAAAGTTATAGAAAAGGAAACTGGACATTTAAAAATCGAGGGATTGAAATCATCTAACACAACTGTAAAAAAAAATAATCAACAGCATAATGCAGAGGATATTAAGGATAAGTGTCCAACTTGTACAGGATCGAATACGAATATTATTAAAAATGAACGAAAATTAAATTCGCAAGAATTAGACGTAGTAGACTCAGTTGAATCATCTATTATGATTCAAAGTAAAGAACAAGAAAATAATACAACATCTAAAGGAGATAATGCTGGTATATTAAATATATTATTTTATATAATTATATTATTATTATTTTTTTTTTTTTATTTATAAGATATCTAATAAAAATTTTGAATATAGAAATTGAAGCAGAGAATGCTGTAGCTAAATTAAGAGAAAGTTTAATTTACGAAGAGTTATTAGATATGCAAGCAATATTAAAATCTCGTATTACTCAAGAAAAAAGTGAAATTAAACGACTAAAAGAAGTGCTTCTTATGATAACAACACGAGAACCAGATAAGAAGCCAAAACCAAAAGAAAGAGTTCACTCTCCAAACGAAGCTGAGATAACAGCAATGATACAATTAGCCAAAGAAAATCAATTATTAGAGGTATATTAATAATGTTGTTTCTCTTTTTCTAATTACAAATTATTTTTCTTATTCAATTTCAAATAAGTATAATTAATGTTTTATTTAATAGAAAAAAATGACAACTTTAATACGTAGTATTATTGAAGAAAAAGATGCTTGCGTAGAATTGCGTGTCCAAATAGCAATTCATCAACTAATGGCAAAAACTTGACCATAAAATCGTTATATTGATTCTTTAATAATGTTATAATAATAACATGACAAAAATAATTTAATGAATATTACGTTTTGCACAAAAAAGAATATATAGTTTATAACATGTTATAATTCCTATAATCCTTATAAATTTATATTCTATGAGTCTTCAAAATAATAAGAGAGTACTTTTTTATACTCTCAGCAAACAAAAACCTTTCAATATTTTACAGTTTAAAAATACATTATTCTATTATTGCACATAATGTCTTATAATCATGTTAATTGTGATTGTATCATTCCAGTAAAGAATGACTGATTATCAATAGAATAGAAAAGATTAAATACAATCAACACATATTTTGACTATTTAATTTCTAATCAATATTAAAGAAATCACTAAAATCTAGTAAAAGATATTTTGTGTTTGATTATCTATTTATTTTTAACGATCCACTGTACAAGTATTATTTGATTTAATCAAAGAAATGAAAATAAATGTAAAAAGTAAATATTTAAAATAAAAATAACGATTGAAATTACATTGTACATTGTCTGTAATATATACTGCATCTATAATTTTTAAATAGGTAAGTGTATTTTTTATTTCTTTGAAACTAAGGCTGTGCATCAATCAAAATAAAAATGACAAAAAATAATAAAATACGGAAAATCTCCCTTGAAAATGTAAATTCAAAAACAAAAAAGGTTTTGTATCATCTCGGTTCCAAGATCTCCTGAACACATAGACGTTGACTGTTCATAGATATCACTACACCCTCTGTTTAAAGTAATGTTTAAAAAGTAAGCGCTACGCTCTTTTGAACAGGGACAGGGAACATATAAATCTTCAATACCCTCATAATCAATATCACTGGAGGTGAGGCTGAAAATTGGAAAAGATCGGACTCTTTTCGGAAACGGCAGTCTTTTATCGCCGGCATTGCTTTGTCTTGAATGTTATCGCTAATGTTTCTTTTAAGTAACCGATACCTTTATATAATATATACACATCGGAAAGATCACAAGGTTTTTTAAAAAAAAAAAAAAATGAAATTGAAATATCTAAAATTATAAGACTTATTATCTATAATATCATTTTTATTTTAATATTTTTTTCATTCTAATGTAATTATTATATAGCTCTTGAGCAGTAATGACTTTTAGAGTTAAATTGTCCTGTATTGTAAAAAATGTTTAATATAATATTAAAATAATTGTTAAATAATCAAAAGGAATACAAATCGCACGTATCGTTCTATCACTCTTTCTCTCTCACACGTGCTCGCGCTCCCTCAACTTATACGCCAAGCTTGCATACGTTTTCACTGCTTAGCAACGCTGCGCCGAGGTTGCCTTTGTATGAGCTGCTTAGCAACGCTCCGACGTAACGACATCACGCCACGCGCTGAGCTTGCCTTTGTAGAAACTGATAACATCTTACCACGCGCCGAACCTTGCTCTGATGTAAGCAACATTCTGCGACGAGCCGAGCTTTCTTTTGTCAAGCGCTTTATCACACACTCACGCACTCACGCACTCACACAATTATAACAAACCGGATGCTTCTACTCCCACCCTCGGCTATCGTGACGTCATATAACAAGCTTATGCTTGTTCTTCGCTACACACGCACACACTCACAATGCACACCGGATGCTTCATCTCCCACCCTCGGCTATTATGCGTCATACACAAAGCTTATGCTTGCTTCACCAMACACGCATACACATAACACACAAACAACAGTAGCTCGACGACGACAAACAACGAACGGTGGTCGCCTCTCGTTCCGTCATCCTCACGCTAGACGCACGCATCCTAACAAAGCAACCATTCCWTATCTCTTTCTTTCACGCAAACACTCACATATATATGCTTGTTCCACACTCAGAAAGTCATATATAAAACATAGTATAAAAGTATTTGCATAGAAAACAATGCTCAGTATACAGTTAAATTTAAAGGAAGACTGTTTTCCGATCTTATACTTGGTATATTCAGACAACAGTGTAGGGAAAACACTTATTACGTATCCGGCTAAGGATATCTGAATTCTTTGCGTAGCCGGTACCACTCAAAAAAAAAAAATAGAAAACAAAACACCTTTTTTTATTAAACAAGTTAATAAATTACAATCCGTTTAAAACAATTCACACGCAATAATTAGATGAACTCCCTCCGCTGCTTCTTGAAAACTCTTAGACACTAAATCGCACGTAACGAATCGCTATTAAACTAAAACGCTAAACTGCTCGTATTGTATCGTCACTCACTGCACACTTTCACGCTTATTTACTCTCAAAATCGATCGTTTAATATCGCTCAAATTCAACTTAATTCTATCGTTTAATCACACTTCTTTATCGCACGTATCGTTCTCCCTTTCTCTCTTTCTCTCTCGTAAACAAGAACTCTCCCGGCAACCAGCTTGCTTTGTTTTCACTCACTCGTAACGCTCTTACGTAGTAACGTGACGTCATACAACAAGCTTGCTCTTGTCCTTCGCCACACACACACACACACACACACACATATTTTTGTAACGGGCAAAGTACTAGTACGGTTTAGTTGTATGTAAAAAACCGTTGATGGTTACCATAGTAACGCTCTGACGTAGCAACATTACGCCACTAACAGTGCTTGCCATTGTTTGACACACAACACACACACATACACACAACTTAGTAACCAGGAGTGAGGACCACGAATCAAAGCCAGGGAATAGGAAAAACTGTAGAGCTATATTCTGTCTCATTCTCTCGCAGGCTCAATCCTATATGTTTGTCTCTTTCTCTGCTCTTATTTAGTATCGCTTTCGTTTCATAGCCTCCTACCGTTCCGTTACGCAGCGGCCTACCGCTTCATTTTTTACAATTACCGTTACATTTTTCCAAATTACACCCATTCTAAAAAAGTTTTCACTTCAAAAATTTTCATATGAATATATTTCTCTGGTTTTTCAGATGACTGTCTTCAATTTGGTTGCGTACCTAAGACAGAAAATAGTATAATATTGTGCAATATTGCTTTAAGGGTCAAGCAACCGGACCCACCCTACCAACTTTCCAAGAATACCCACGCTATGGACTTTTCAGAAATACCCTACCCCACGAACTTTTCAGAAATACTCCTATCCTACAAACTTTTCAGAAATACTATACAGAAATACAGTTCGTAGGGTTTGTATTTCTGAAATGTTCGTAGGGTAGGGTATTTCTGAAAAGTTCGTATGATAGAGTATTTCTGAAAAGTTCGTAGGTAGTAAAAAACAAACCTTTATTCAACTAATTTGTAAACTAATTCATACAACAGAGAAAATAAACTGGAAGTGTCTATTCATTACTATCAAGAATGATAAGAAGAATCCAACAATACTGCAACTATGAAAGATTTTTGAATGCACTGTTCTTATTATACTTACATTGGGAAGAAATCATATGCAGTTATATTCTATCAGAAGATTAGCAGAAGGAATGCATCCTAGTTATCACAAATTAGGAAAACAAATGGCTAATACATTATATTATGATATTCTGTTCTTGTACAAAATCTTTTACCAGGTTTTCTAAACGATGATGGAAGATATTATTGTTCATCGACTGCCAAGAAAAATTTATGTATTTATATAAATTAATATCTTCCTTGCAAAGAATTCCATGTGAATTATTATGTGAATAGAATGCAGCTGTTCTGACTAAAAATAATCTA